TGTTATAATCAATAGGTGGCAGACATGCATGTGTAAATAATCATCCTGCACAATTGCTCAAAGCTTCTTCAGGCATTTTTTTTCTACGCAGAAAGCTCACATGAAGAGGGGAGCGTTCTAGCTTCCCCACCTTCATCATCCATGCCTTCATCTTCCTACATGGGAGCTGTCCACATGAGTCAAGACCTTGAAAAATGACATTCATTGCCCTCCATGTGCATGAGGGTGATGAAAATGGTGGATGGGTAGGAATACAGTATTCTGCTCTTTGCAAGTGCTTTCTACCCGGTTTAAAATGTCAGAAGGATGTTGCATAGGTTAGAATAAGGCTGCAATCCTACACATGTGTATATCCTATCAAAGTCAACATGGTCTGGGTAGGAATATTCTGCTCTTTGCAAGTGCTTTCCACCTGGTTTAAAATGTCAGAAGGATGTTGCACAGGTTAGAATAAGGCTGCAATCCTACACAGTTATGTGTATATCCTATCAAAGTCAACATGGTGAAATCCTTCACATGGTTACATATAGGTATATAGGTCAAGAGCCCTTATCCTGGAATGGATTAGGCAATGTGGTACAATCAAGGTACTTAGACTACAACTCATATCAGTCTTAACCAGCATGGTAAGTCTATGGGTAACCAAGTTGCCGACTACTGCCCTACAACCTATATATAGCCCAAGATTCAAAACGGACTAAAAATAATGAATTCCTTCTTAACAGTTCTTTGCCTATCCTGTATACAAAAGTAATAAAGAGATCCTGTTCTGATGTAGTAAAACTCATTTACAAGATACAAATCTGGGATCTCTTGGAATCTCACCTCCATACACTAGCACCTTCTCATTAAAATTCACAGACTATATTAGAGTTTGATAAATTAAACACAGCAGTGGCAGTGTTCATATTTCATGTCTGCCAACGACCATAAATATTTCAGAGTATGTTATATAGAACATGGTATACAGATAACCTATTCAGGTTCAATCATGTAGATGCAGTGCAGCTGAGATAAAAAATGTACATATATACATGAAGAATCACTTTTGCACTGATCCTGAATGATAAGAGCAAACCACTAGAAGATGGACTATAAAGTGACAAGACACCTGACAGCCTCATTCAGCAACTTTAAAAGATGCCTTCTTACCATTCTTTTTTTTTTCAAAAAAAAAAAAAGCCTTTAGTCTTATTTCTTTCTTGGCCCTATCTGTAAGCAGTGCTCTTGAGGCAAGCTGGTACTTATCAGTGACTATCCAAGTCTGAACCATGGTTATAAAATAAAACATATTAAAGTAACAATGCCTGTCAGTCAGTTTCCACAATACTGCCCCATGATTCAGCACTTCTGATAAAAAAACAAAAAACAAAACCCAGAAGAGCAGCTTCATTAACAGAGGTGGGTATGTAAAATGTATATATTAATATGATTTTATTACAATGAATTATCAACCAAAGTCCAATTGAGATCAGATTTTCAGATTTTCTTCTATAAGAACAGACTCAGTTCTCACAATGGGCTCTCCATTAGCAACCTGGACACACCCATAAGTCTTGTGTTTCATCCAGATCTAGGCATTTTTAGTACTGAAAAAGGATGAATAGTCATTTTTTTTAAAAAAAAGTTTAAATTCTTAAAGCATTCCTGATAAGGCTGCAACCACAAGACACTCTAGATAACCATTAGAAGAAAGAACAAATGTTCATCTTCCAGATCTTTCAGAGTAACTCTACAGTATGTCAGCAATATGTCTTCTCAGATTTCTCTCTGTGGATGCACAATAATCCAGCATCTTCATGGGTGTTGCCCAAGAAATAAAACTGAGAGTACAGATGTGATACCCAAAATCTTGAAGGCCTTGTGGTGAATTGATAATTCAAGTAACAAGCTACAGCTTTGAGTTCATTAAGTATATTTCCAAAGAGAAGAAATGCTCATGGGTGTATCACAGAAAGAAGTTGACGCACTTGTTCAACTGAGTTTTAGCATCAAACCAATGATGTTTGTAGTCCTGAATTTCTAAACGTAATACCTACCCCTCTCAGTTTCTAATCCAATGGATTAGGAAGATGCTACAACCATACTGTGGCCCCAAGAAAATTGTATTAATCTTAAACCTGATTTTTTTTTTCTGTTTGGAGAAGGCAGACATCAGATGCCTTGAGGGCACAATGTACATCCATTTACGATGCTGAATTATTAATAACCTTAAGGCATATGTCCTCAGCTAGTTCAGGCTTAATCTAAAAGTTGAGGTAAAACTGGAAAGAAGATAACAGAGGAATGAAAAGCCAAATATCACTAAGTCTGAGTCACTATACAATGGGGCGGCAGAACAGTTAAATTGTTATTTTAAAAAACCACCACTCAACATTTACCAATACTGGTGGCCCATTTTTCACTAAAGTGCACACTTAAGATGAAATGCGCAAAGTAATTATAAATTAGAACCACTTGTAGGGAGTGTACAACAACACAAAGAACTAACTGAACTCCTCCATCTGCTGAACCACACCTAGATAGCAAGGGTGTAATAACGAAGGCAGTGCTTAAGGCTTCTCTGACAATGGCAGATTCTGGAAACCCTTATACAGTACCCTGCCTTCCCAAACAAAGCCACAATAAAGCCAAAACCCATAATGAACAAACAGTTTTCAAAAAATATCAACTTTAACAAATATGTGTACGCACATACACGCACACGCACACATACACAAACACACACAATTTGGACACTCAAAATCCTACAGTTATACAGTATTCTACAATTGTCCTCCTTGGACTAAAAAGATGGATACAACATTACATTTACAAAAATCCCCAAAAATAAATCTGCTTCTTTCCCTACTAGTGCTCCAGTTCAATATGACTTTTCTGGAAAGGAAAAAGTAAACTGAATGATAATCCTGTACGAATATCAGTCATCTATGACTGGGTTGTGGCAACATTTAAAAGTGCTTAATGTTTTATCATAAGCGTTTCTTTTCTCCATTATTGCTGCTTCCTATGAAAAAAAATCTCTGAATTCTGCTTTTTGTTAAAATGCTCCTGAAACAAGCCCCAGATCACTTAATTTTTCAAAGTCAGAAACAAAGGAAACTGCTGCATCTTTTTATCAGAAGCATCACATAAAAGCGACACACCGAGTTCTCCCGGTTCTTTGTAACTTCAATTTCCAAGGGAGTGTGGAGACCGAGAACCTGCAAATGGGTGTTTAATGTAATTTTCTTTTCTTTTCTCCTTGACTGTGTGAACGCCCTTTGTCCGCTATGGGCTGCCATAGGGACCGCACTGCGGACTGCACCACGCCCACAAGCCGGTATCTCTGGGCAGACTCCCCAGCAGCAGCAGCAGCAGCAGCAACACCAAGAGGTGGAAAAAGAGAAAGCTGAGGAGAGAGGCTGTTGCAAGACCCAAACGACCTCTGATTCCAGCTAGAGTTGGGGGGGGGGACACTGTGTGTTAATGTGTGAGTGTGCACTTGTGTGCATAAATGACAATAGGTGAAGGACAGCTGTGACTCACAGGAAGAAAAAAAATGGAGCAAAAAAAAGCCCACCTGCAGAAGAGGCCGATGGGTCACGTCTCTTCCTCCTTGTGCCTCCTGATGCACCAAAGCACCCAAACCAAGCGAAGATCTTTGTGTGGGGAGGCCGAAGAGCCTACTCCACCCCACCCCACCCCCAGTTATTCCGGCTGCTGCAGAAGGGACTCAATGGACCTCCAAGGTGCTGCCTCTCATGTACTTATACTCCCTTAGACAAACACTCCCCACCCCACCACAAAACGACCAAGGAGATTCATTCCTTGGGTTCCTGACATTTCTCTCTCTCTCCGGGATAAATGGTGAGTGGCTGCATGGATGGGGTGAACTTAGGAGCGCATCTCTGAAGAAGCTTCCCCACCCAAGTTGTGGTAGAGATTCGCATGTGTGTGTGTGCGCGGGGACATCTGTGCGGACAAATCAACTTTGCTGTGTGTCTGAGGATGGCTGTGGCTCTTGTTTTCCTTTCGAGTTGGCCGAGGTTAAAAACAAAGCCATCAATTACAAGGGTGCCATTTTTTCTGTCCCCTGGGGAAGAGCAACTACTGCAGCCTGTAGGGGGGGGGGGTTAACCACCCTCCAGTGAATCCGGCTGCAGCTTCTCCTTTTATTCCAGGCACAATGCAACCCTCTCAAGAAGGAGAAGGAGAAGGAGAAGGAGAAGGAGAAGGAGAAGGAGAAGGAGAAGGAGAAGGAGAAGGAGAAGGAGAAGGAGAAGGAGAAGGAGAAGGAGAAGGAGAAGAAGAAGAAGAAGAAGAGGAGGAGGAGGAGGAGGAGGAAGAGGAAGAGGGATGCAGGAGTGAGATGCAGGCTGGGCTGAGTCGATCCTCCCGCTGCCAACTCTAGCGCTGCAACTGTAGACCAGAGGACACGCACACACGAATCTCTACAATGCAGGAGGCTGCGGGGAAGGGAGTGGTTGGTTGCCTCCGATTTCCCTTTTTCGGACCTTCGTCTGGGGCTGGGCGATGAAGCCCGCCGGGCCGTTATTCCG